AAAATTGATTTTTGTGTACTGCTCTTGTATTTTGCAATCTTGCTAAAACTCTCTTGTTAAGATAGTTTTTTTTGGGCTTCCCTGGTGGCGCAGTGCTTGAGAGTCCGCCTGCCGATGCAGGAGACGCGGGTTCGTGCCCCGTTTCGGGAGGATCCCGCATGCCGCGGAGCGGCTGGGCCCGTGAGCCATGGCCGCTGGGCCTGCGCGTCCGGAGCCTGTGCTCCGCAAATGGGAGAGGCCACGACAGTGAGAGGCCCGCATAACGCAAGAAAAAAAAAAAAAAAAAGAAAGAAAGAAGATAGTTTTTTTTGGTAGATTCAGTAGGATTTTCTACATAGATTATCATGTTGTCTGTGAATAGAGAGTTTTGCTTCTTCTTTTCCAGTCTGAATGCCTGTTTCTTTTTCTTGCCTTATTTCTCTGGCTAGAACCTCTAGTATAATGTTGAATAGAAGGATGAGAACAGTCATCCTTGTTTTATTCTTAATCTTAGTAGGAAAGCATTCAACCGTTCACCATTGTGATGTTTGCTGTAGGCTCTTTGTAGGTGCCTATTATCAGATTGAAAAAGTTCTATTCCTAATTTGCTGAGAGTTCATATGAAGAGTGGATATTGAATTTTGTCAGATGTCTATTTTGGATCTATTATTCTGGTCATATGGCTTTTTTCTCTTTTTTTTTAGGGTGTTAATATGGTGAATAACATTAAATAATTTTAGATTGTAAACCAACCTTGCATTCCTGAGTTAACTCCACTTGGACATGATGTATTTTAGTTTTTCTATATTCTTGGATTTGATTTACTAAAATTGGTTAAAACTTTTTATGTGTATGTTTGTGATTTCTCTCAAAGACATTATATTGATAGTTTTAGCTTTTATATTATGTCTTTTGTATGTGGTGTGATGTAGGGGTCGAGATTCATTTTTTTCCCCACATGGCAATTCAATTGTTCCAATACCAATTGTTTCTTTTCCCCATTATATTGCTTTTTGTTGAAAATTAATTGACTGAATAAATGTGAGCCTATTTCTGGGCTCTCTATTATGGTTTCTGTAGTAAGTCTTAAAGTCAGGTTTGGTAAATCTTCTAACTTTTCATCTCATGTTTTCAATTTTTTTTTTTTTTTTTTTTTTTTTTTGCGGTACACGGGCCTCTCACTGTTGTGGCCTCTCTCGTCGCGGAGCACAGGCTCCGGACGCGCAGGCTCAGCAGCCATGGCTCATGGGCCCAGCCGCTCAGCGGCATGTGGGATCTTCCCAGACTGGGGCATGAACCTGTGTCCCCTGCATCGGCAGGTGGACTCTCAACCACTGCGCCACCAGGGAAGCCCTCATGTTTTCAATTTATTTGTCCTTTTATACTTCATTCTGAGAAATATTCTCAATTTGGTCTTTCAGTTTGCTAACTCATTGATCAGCTGTATTCATTCTGTTATTTACACCATCTGTTTTTTTTTTTCTTTTAATTCTTTTAATTTCATCTACTACATTTCTCATACTTGTCACATCTGTTTTTCCCCTTGGTTCTTTTCTCATATTGCTGATATCTTTCTCTTTTAATATGTTTATTAGTCTAATTAAAAATTTTTGATCTGTTTCTTCTAATATATCTGGTATTGCTGGATTCTGTAATCAGTATATTTTGTTTTTTTTTTTTGCCGTATGTGGGCCTCTCACTGTTGTGGCCTCTCCCATTGTAGAGCACAGGCTCCGGATGAGCAGGCTCAACGGCCATGGCTCACGGGCCCAGCCGCTCCACGGCATGTGGGATCCTCCCAGACCGGGGCACGAACCCGTATCCCCTGCATCGGCAGGCGGACTCTCAACCACTGCGCCACCAGGGAAGCCCTATTTTGTTTGTTTTGAAATGACTTGTCTTTTCAAATGTCTTGTCATTTTGGTCTGTGAGCACATTTTTCCATCGAGATATGTTATTATGTCATACAGTCCTTTGGGGGGAACAGCCTCATTGAGTTCACACTATGGGGAATGGAAGAGTCCTAAGATGGGAGAGACACCATAAAATTGCAATAACATTTTGTCTTACATGACATCTGCTTTGTAAGTTCACCTTTTGCTCCCCTGGGTGAATCAGCAGTAGGAGGCACTCCTTAACAACCCTGGCTGCATATTGAAATCAAATAAGGAACTTGAAAAAAAATAGTGATTCCTAATTCCCACCTGAGATTTTGTTTGTTTGTTTGTTTGTTTGTTTGTTGCGGTGTGTGGACCTCTCACTGTGTGGCCTCTCTCGTTGCGGAGCACAGGCTCCGGACGCGCAGGCTCAGCGGCCATGGCTCACAGGCCTAGCCACTCCGCAGCATGTGGGATCTTCCCAGATCGGGGCATGAACCCGTGTCCCCTGCATTGGCAGGCAGACTCTAAACCACTGTGCCACCAGGGAAGTCCCCCAACCCTGAGATTTTTATTTATTTATTTTAGTTGTGCAGCTTGGATTTGAGAATTTGTTTTACTTCTTAAATTTAAAATAATTTAGGGTGAAAGGAAGTTGCAAAAATACAGAGAGATTCCTTCACCCAGTTTCTCCCAGCTATTACATTTTATATAACTATAGTACAATATCAAAAGCAGAAATTGTCACTAGTTCAATGTGTATGTATAGTTTTATGTACTTTTATCATTGTATTCCGTGGTATGGATGTACCACAGTTTAACCATTCATCTATTGAGGGACATTTTGATTGTTTCTAGTGTTTAGCTAACACAAATAAGGTAGACCTTATGTATTTAATGTAATTATTATATGTTAGGGCTCAAGTCTCCTGTTTTATTTGTTTTTTTGTTTGTTTCTTCCCTTTGTTTTTCTTATCTCTGTTTTCTTTTTCCCACCTTTCTGTGGGTTACTTGAACATTTTTATGAATTTCATTTGGATCTATCTTTAATACTTTTGAGTATCTCTATGTAGATGTTTTCATTGGTTGCTCTAGGTATTACATTATACACACATAACTCAACACAGCCTACTGGTGTCACATTTTATCAGTTTAAATGTAGAAATCTTGTGTCCCTTTAAATACTTTTACCCTCCTCCATTTATAATTGTCTTAATAGATACAGATTTCTTTTTGGCTCTACCCATGATTTACATTCCCTCAAAGTTGCTGTTTATGTTTTTCACTGATGTTTCTTTAGTTTAAGATTTCATGTATTATATGAGCCATTGTTTCTTTGAATATTATGTTTATTCTCTTGTGGAATTTTTATTAGGTGAATATTGGACCTTCTCATTCTATTCTTTATGTCTCTTAAACTTTCTTTTGTATTTTTTCTATCTTTTTTTCTGTGCTCTATTATAGATAATTTCCTCTGATCTGGCTTTTTTTTTTTCTTTCTATCTTACTAATTGTCTCTTTAGCTGTGTCTGTTTTGTTCTTAAACTTGTCATTTGATGTTGTCCTTTTAAAAGTTTTATTTCAGTGACTTTAGTTTAATTTCCTGAAGTTCTCTTTGGTTCTTTTAAAAATCTGCTGGTTCTTTTTTCTTTTCATTGTGTATTCTATTACTTATGTTATGTCTTAGTATTTAAAACTATTTTTAAATTGCTATTTAATAATGCTATAATCTGAAGTTCTTTGGGATTTAATTTAGTTTGTGTGTCTTTTGACTCCCACTAAGTTTGGGTTGTTTCTTAATGTGTTTTTAAGATTGAATTGTGAGCTCATTTTCAACAGACCTCTGTCTGAGGTTTAGTTTGTGCCTGAGTTGAGGGCATGTCCCTCCAGAGAACTTTTATTTCCACTGAGTGTTCTAGATTATGTGACCATCCTGGAACCAGATTTTATTTTGATATCTTATCTTGAGATTGAGAATTCCCAATGAAGACTTTTAGTTATTTTTATTACCCTGGCCCTAGCAATGTTTGGCAAGCTGATTTCTTCTAGTCCTCTCCAGTAATAGTGTAGCCCTTAGTGGCCTTATGGTAGAGGATCTTAATTCTTTTTTTTTTTTCTTTTTTGGCCATGCCACATGGCTTGTGGGATCTTAATTCCCCAACCAGGGATCAAACCTGGGCCCTCGGCAGTGAGAACACAGAGTCCTAATCACTGGACCACCAGGGAATTCCCGGACCTTAGTTCTAATACTTGTGTTGCAGCCATCTCTGTGGCCTCATCTTCTGTTCCTGAGTTAAAAGGCAAGACTCTAGGCCACAGAGACAGGCAAACCCCAACTCTATCTAACATAACATCAGTTCATTGTCTTATTGCTCTGATTTGGCTCCAGGGGAGTTCCCTTACAAATCCTTCTAAGTTTTGCTATACGTTTAAAAGGCTGCTTCTTACATCATATTTAGTATGTGTAAGTGTTTCGTGGTGAGAGGACTTTCAGATTATCTAGCTTCCATATTTCCAGAAATTATAGTCTGTTTACTTATTAATATTTGTTTATTGACTGTGAACTCCATGAGACCAGGGCCACTGCCCACCTAGTTCACCATAGCTTCCTCAACACCTAGTGCCTGGTACATACTAGACATTTAATAAATGTTTGTGGACTCAATGAAATGCTATTCATTACAGATTTATTTATAATAGTGAAAACCTGAAATGAACCTAAATGTCTAATATTAGGGGAGTACTTAAGTAAATGGTTACTGCTCATATAAGGTTTTTCAGCCAGAAGATGATAATTTGGAGGGCTGAATAATAAGATTAAAAAATATTAAAGATTAAGTGTAGGTGGAAAAAAAATCAGGATTCAGTTTTGAATTTAGAATATGGTAACTTTAAAATATGTGTAGCCAAAACAATACAAACTAATGAACACCAAAATGCTAATAGTTGCTTATGTTGGAGTGGTAGATTGAGGATCCCTTTTTATCCTTTATGTTTCAAACCTCCTATAATGTGTTTTTGTAATGAAAATACTAAGAAGAAAAAAATGTACATTAGTATTCTTAAAAGTTTTTAGATTTAAATACACTAAAAAGTTGATAAAACAAAATTTCAGAATTAGTTTTACTATTAAAATGTTTACAGACTTTTATATGAAAACACAGAAAAAGATCTTTCTGATACTCAACGACACCTTGCTAAGAAAAAATATGAGCTACAGCTTACTCAGGAGAAAATTATGTGCTTGGATGAAAAAATTGGTGAGTTGTTTTCTTTTTCCCTGATGTTACTTTTTTTTAAAAAGTCTGGTTTAAAAAAAGTTTTCTTCTCTTCAGTTATAACATAGATAAACTTAGAAATATGCTCTTAAATTAAAGTTTTTTAGTCAGAAATCATGGGAAAATATATTATTCTTTGATAATAAAAATTTTTACTTAAATTTAGGACCATAAATACTTAGACATGGCTTCATATTTTTCAATGAAGAAATAGCTAAACAAAGCAGCAATACTTCGTAAATTTATGATGATCAATTTTGAATTTATAAGTTTTTGTATTGTATGTCATGCCCATAGGTGTTGTAATGAAATACATTACATATATACTATTTTTGGTGGAAAGTGTACATATATTTGGCTATATCTGTGGTATCACTTGAGTTTATAAAGATTATTTTTTATAAAGTCTCCTATTATTGTTTCTTACCAGTGATCTTTATGAAAATATGGTTATAACTTTGAAGTAAAATTTTGGTGAAGACTATAAAAGAGCCCATTTTAAAGCAATAAATATTTTTAAGATTTACTATTATGCAGTTCAAAAATATCTGACATGAGCAATTAGGTGGGTGGAGGTGCTTTTTATTGAGACAGGAAGTATTAAAAGAAAATATAAAAGGGGAAGATTGAAGAACTCATTTCTGGATATTTTAAGTTCAAGTAAAAAGGTAGGGTAAGCAGGTAAATAGATACGTTTGTATCTCAGACGAGAAATCTAAGCTAAAGATATACATTTGGGACACATCAGCATATAAATGATATTTTAAAACCATGAAATCACCTAGGGGAAATATAGAGAATGAGGAGAAGAGGATCCAGGACTGAGTAAGAAGAAGCCAAAGACATAGGAAGAAAACCCAGAAGTGAGTGTCATTTTGGGAAGCAAGAGAGCAACATGTTTTAAAAAGGAGGATATAATCAATTGTCAGATACTTTCAAGAAGCAAAATAAGATGAGAATGAAAAAACATTGATTGGATTGGCACATTGGAGGTTTTGGTAGCACTGACCCCCCAAAAAAGTTTGAATTACAGTGTTAGATGTGGAAGATGGAGTAGGTTGACAAATGATTGGGAAGTGAGGAGGTAGAGACAGGAGAGAATAGAAGTCTTAAGAAGTTTGGCTATTGAGTAGTAGAAAAATGGGGTGGTAGCTTAAGTGGGATGTGGGGTTGAGGATATTTTAAAGCTAGGAGATACTAGCTGTTTTAGAGTTTATTTTATGTCAATGGGAATGAACTCAGATAACAGAACACCCAAAACATGTGGTTTGCCTGGAAAAGGGATGTGATGTATTATATAAATCACCTTCTTGGCATATGGGATTACGTCTCTTAGTGCTGCACTGGGTGGCCCTTGGCAGGCATTTACTTAGAGTTCTAGTCACACAGAGCTTCCTTGGTAGAGCTCTAGACCAGTGGTTCTCAAACTTCAGTCTTTACCTGGAGAGCTAAACCTCACTGAGCTGGGCTCCTCGAAGTAGGATACTGCCAGGGCTTTTGTATCCTTACCAATTTCCTCAAGTGGTTCTCAAACTTTATTGTGTATTAGAATCACTTGGGAGGGGTGCTTGTTGAAACATAAATTGGTCTGCCCACTCAGAATTTCTAATTCAGTAGGTCTAGGATGGGACCTAAGAACTTGTATTTCTCACAAGTTCCCAGGTGCTGCCAATGGTGCTGGTTGAGAAACCACAGTTTAGAAACCACTATTCTACATCATCTTTCAGTCCTTCAACAGTGACATTGGCTTGCCAGCATTCTTACAAATCAAATCAGACTTCCTGGGATGATATTTTTTTCTAGGAATTTTTATTACACTACTTTAGAAAAACCAAAATACTAGAAGATATTTGACTCTGAAGATGACTTAATTGGATATTTTATTAAGATCTGTTAATTACCAGCTTACATCCAACAGTGATTCTAAGCTAGAGGGAGGTGAAATTAGAGGGGGGAAAATTGATAGTCCACGTGCTTCATCCACACACCCTCCCCTACCCCACCACACATTCTACTTTGAGAACTTGTTATAAAGAACTTTCCTTTGCTGTTCTTTTTTTTAAAAAATATACTTTATTGAAGTATAGTTGATTTCCAATGTTGTGTTAATTTCTGCTGTACAGCAAAGTGATTCAGTTATACATATATATACATATACATTCTTTATCATATTCTTTTCCGTTATGTTTTTTTGAATTTATTTTATTTATATTTTTATACAGCAGATTCTTATTAGTTATCTATTTTATACATATTAGTGTATATATGTCAATCCCAATCTCCCAATTCATCCCACCACCTCCCCCCACATCCCTTTCCCCCGTTGGTGTCCATATGTTTGTTCTTTACATCTGTGTCTCTATTTCTTCCTTGCAAACGGTTCATCTGTACCATTTTTCTAGATTCCACATATATCCTTTGCTGTTCTAATTCAAATGTATTAATTGTGCTTTTACATTTATATCATTTAGAATTTCATGATTAACCTTCATTTTTAATCACTAACAACAAAAGCCATTATTTATTTGGGATACAGTACTTTATATTTAGTCATTGAATATAATATAGGAGAATTTTCTTTGAAAAGTATTTCACTCTGCTTGAACTGGAAAAAAATTTATCTTGATTAAAACAATGCCTTTATGATTACACATTTAGATAATTTTACAAGACAAAGTATTGCCCAGCGAGAAGAAATCAGCATTCTCGGTGCAACCCTCAATGATCTGGCTAAAGAAAAGGAATGCCTGCAAGCATGTTTGGATAAAAAATCTGAGAATATTGCATCCCTTGGAGAGAGTTTGGCAATGAAAGTATGTTCTGACAACCGTGGTTTAAAAGAAATGTTTGAACTTGAATCTGAATAAAATAATAGGATTTTCTCAATTTTTTCCTAGAGAGCTAAAACTTTAAAATCTGATTTTGAAATATTTCAAGATAGTCTTAGGAAATATGTGTTCAAATTCACTAGCTAATATTTTGAAATAGATTTTTCTGTCATCACTTTATGATTAGCATTCACTAACAATAACTGATTCAAATATCAAAATGTAAAGCATAATAAACAAAAGCAGTGAGACTGATTTCTTTTTAAAAGCACACCAGAACTTATGTTTTCAGGTAGCCACCTTGGGAGGCAATATGTGTATTTCATTAAAACCACCTTTGTAATTGTATTCAGAACTGGGGGCATGTTGTTACATCATCCTTAGCCTTGAGAGTGGATCACATGGAACTGGTGAATAAAGTTAGATGATAAACTTCATCCCACATTTCTGTTGTTCAAACAACAACAACAACAACAAGGTGTTCTCAAAAAGGCAGGGATATATTGACCCTCTTTTCTAGCTCATAAACTGATTCTGAAGGCAATTCCTAAACTGTTTTCCACAGATGTCTTAAGCAAAGGCAGCATCTCTGGCATAAGGTCTTTCCCCTCTCTAAGGGAACTAATTCATTCATTTATCCAGCCATCCATCCATTCAACATTTATTGACATGTACCAGGAATTATGTTAGACATACCTTCCAAAGGCCTATGGTATAATTCAGAAAGATAAAGAGGCTGTTGAGATGGAATGTGCTAAGTACCATAATGACGTATGCACAATGTATGAGTGAAGTTTGTCAGAAACATACCTGATTCAGCCTGGGGGTTGGATTAGGGGAGGGAGAAGATCTAGGAAGCCTTCCACGCAGTGATGGTGCCTACACTGCCCTGAAAGATGACTAGGAATTAGCCAAGAAAAGATTTAGAGAAAGGGGACAGTGAGAGAAAGAGTGATGCAGACAGGTAGAGCACTTTTTAGAGAAAGGGTGATCCAAACAAGTAGAGTAGATTATATGAAAGCCCAGAGGCTTTCATAAGAGAATTTCGTGAGATTTCTTGATAGTTTAATATGTCCAGAGAATAGAGTGCAAAGAGGTGAGTATGGGGGGGTGAAGGGGGGGCGGTGGTAAAAGATGAGGTGGGATAGAAAAGAAACAAATCAGAACTACACATGATGTTGAGTTGAGTTTCCATCATCACGGATATAGAGGAACGTTGAAATAATGAAAATGAAATGTTACAATTAGATCATTAAAACATTATCCTAGCCCTTGTTAATCTACATAAAAGGTTGATTGTACGGAAATGAGAGTAGTGACAAGGACACTAGTTAGTAGTAAAATGATAAGAACTGTATTAGGAGAGTGGCAGTATCCATGAGAGAAACAGACAACTCTAGGAAGTAAGACTGACAAGATGCGCTTTCTGATGTAGGAACCAAATGAATAGTTCCTATGTGTGAAGTAGGAAACACAGGACACAGAACAAGCTTAGAGAGGAAGATTATTGACATGCCTTTGGGACATGTAGTGAAATATTCATAGGCTCCTGGATTTTAAGGTTTGGAGAGAAAATTGAAAATAGATTTGGGAATCATGAGCACAATTGAAGTTATCAAAATACATGAGGTAGTAAATTTTGGCTTATAACTTGTTGAAAAGTCTGTTAATACCTTATAGTTAATACCTTAATATTATAGTTAATACCTTAATATTTTTGAAATTTTATGGTATTTTGGGGGGTGGGATTTTGTTTCTCATTATATTCAAACCACTTTTTGAATAGTTAAACATGATTTTCTTTAGAAACATTAATATTTAGAAACAAATTACTCAATTCTTTCTGAATATCTGTTCCGTCTGTTATACCTTGTATTTCACATTTCTTCCATTCTACTAACTGTACCAATATTATCTTTTCCTTCACAAAGGATATTGTGTTGCAAGTCCATTTCAAAATTAAGAGTTTTGTATAGGATTATGAATGTAAATGCATCCATCCTATGAAAGGAAAATAACTTTTTAAAGCAGTGTTAGACATTCAAAAGAGGAAATGTTCTCTAGAGTGATATTTCAGAGCTGAATTTATAATGCCTTTCAGTGAAAAGCAGTAGTTTTATAGTTTTATCTGGAGATTACAGAAATAAATTACTATGGAAAAGTCTATATTATAGTGAATAAGGTGAATTTTTACTGGTAATCATAGTTTTAAAAGATGTTCTACTACTTGCTACCAATTAAAGTTAGAAAATTCAATAGCCAGTTCACAGATTTTTGAATCATAAAAGCCAGAATTATTTGTGTAAAATTTTAGTTTGTTTCTTTTTTCTGAGTAGATTTATGACCATCCTGTCCAGGTTGAATTTTTAACAATTAACTTGAATCTATGTCACTGGTTGGACAGACGTATTGAGATTGTACAAGGAATATCAAATTGATTAATTATGGCATAAATTTCAACAATTTAAGAAATAGTACTATTTGGGTCATATTAAAAGAAAAATAGGCTAAGAGGATATATTATTGGATTCTATACAGTAATTTTTGTTGCCCTGGATACTTTACAGTGTTCTTAGAGAGTCTTTCAAGATGAATTTCTGTTGATAAAGCAAAGTCCTTATTAGGCTTATAAACCATGTTTAAATTTTAACCAAGGAACTTCTGTCAGAAACACTAGAAGTTCAATTAGCTTTTCAGAATTTATTTAGAAGTGTATTAAGTTGTATTTCAAAAGCATGTGTAAATATTCCATTTTAAGTGGTATTGTCTCTGAGTTTTTCTTCCATTGGCTTGTGCTTCTTAAAGCGGTTTAACAGTTTTGCTAATGGATATTTTAACCATGCTTCAATACCCATTACTGCCAGATGTGGAATCTGTACCATTCTACCAGAAAGCAGAATGGGAAACCAGAGATAAAAATACCCTAGAGAGGAGCACGTGAGTAAAGGAAGATCACACACACACACACACACACACACACACACACACACACACACACCTGTCTCTCTGATGAAAAAAACAGCACTAGTTGGGAAATACAGATTTAGTTTTTCATCTTGCTACTTGGTTACTAAGAATTTGAAAATTTAAAGGGCAAAGTGAAATCTAGGTATTTAGTGAAAGAATAATTTTCCTTTTTTAGGACTAACGTTAGTGCTAAGAACCTATGTAAAGTATCTGTAACTAGTTCAGGATCAGCGAGTTTTTAAAGGAGGAGGTGTGGGAATGGTATTGATGGCATTAAGATATTCCCCCTCATTTCAGTCTTGATTGACTCCATTAATTCTACTTCCTCACCATACCCTTGAAAAGGAAGAATAGCAATTTATTTTTTTATACCTTTGCTCTAGGCCTAATGCCTACCTCCTTGTTAACTCACACCTAAAATTAATCATATACTTTTATAAGTAATTCCATTGGAATAGCTTTTTGAAGATGATGTTGATGACATATATATATATATTATACTTGGTCGAAGTTATTATTCTTAATAACTAAATTCAGTTTTACATGATTCACTGTCCTGGGTTTTATAACATGAAGAAATGAGGAAGTAAATCAGTCCTATTCCCAGTATAGAGTACTACAATGCCAAACCATTGGTTTTCTTCCAAAAACGGTGCTTAAGGGGTTCTTGTGTTGCTGGATAACTGCACAAAACATCTTTTAACAGTATTTGATATAATGATCTCATATCAATACACCTAAGTATAGTCTTTGCTTCAATGAGCATAATCTATTGTTTTTATCCAGTACATATACTCACACTGATATATTAGGCTTTAGTTTTAAAGTGTAGCAAGGAAAAATAGAATATAAATGCTTAAAACCAAATGGAAATCCAAAAGGGAGGGGAAATTCTTTTAGTTTATTCAGTTTTAACAGAAATAACAGTTTAAGATAATTTTTTATTTAATACTTATATTACTTTTCAAGGAAAAGACCATTTCAGGCATGAAGAATATCATTGCTGAGATGGAACAGGCATCAAGGTAAGTCACTTATTCAACAAAAATGTGAGCACTTATTGGGGGCAAAGTACTATGTTAGGTATTGTACAAAGATAGTAAGAAACAAGGAGCTTAATGTTGTATGTAAGATGATAACTCTAATGTTGAAAGGAGGCCTAAGTCCGTTTAGGGAAGTAAAGGGAGGATACGCTGTTTGCCAAGGAAAGGAAAGAGAAGGCATTCAAGGTAGAAAGAATGACACAGCCACAAAGAACCACAGATCATGTTCAAGAGCCTCTTGAATGACAAGTAGGTGAGTGTGTTGGAACCCAAAGTGTAAGGGGAGAAATGAAGGAGGAGAGGCTAGGTAGGCAGGCAGAGGCCTGTGTTACAGACAAATGAGCCTGTGGGCAATGAGAAATCATTAAAGAATTTTGAGATTTTTATGCCGGAAAGATCAGCTAGGCTGCAGAGGTGATAATAAATTGGGGCTGGGAGTTTGGAGGACAGGAGTGTGGTGTTTGTAAAGGAGAAAATCTAGGAAAATGCCAGGTTTCTGTCTGGGGATGAATACTGGACATGATGAACCTACGTGAGAAAAGATTTTTCTTTGAAGAGCTCTTGAGATGTCCTTATAAGTATGTCTAGTTAGCAGTTAAATATAAGGGTCTAGAGTGTAAGGGAGAGGCTGAGGCTGGGGTGAACATTTCAGAGTCATCTGGGTGTAGACAGGGTTGGGAGCCACGGATATGAATAGGAATTGTCTGAGAGAAGGGGTAGCATGAGAAGAATCAGGAGGCTAAGGGTTAAGCTCTGAGAACCATTCATTTTTAAGAGGGCGGGAGAAGAGGAGTCTGCAGAGGAGACTAAGCCATAGCAGCTAGAGGTCGGATGAAGGCTTTCTTATACTTGAATGTCAGAAGTTTTGAAATGCTTAACAAATCATTGACTACCGTGTATATTTGGCATCCTTTTTTATAGTGAAATGTTGGCAACACAGAGGAACTTCAGTGCCCTATCTCTGCAGTGTTTCTTCCTACAAATTTAAATGTATTTAAAACGTCTTCAAATGTTTTCATGCTGTCTATCTTCTGTCTTGTGAAAATTTGTTATTCTGTTCTGGTAAAATGTCTCTGCTTATGTACTATTTGATTTGTGGAATAGACAGTCTACTGAAGCCCTAATTATGTGTGAACAAGACATTTCCAGAATGCGTCGGCAATTGGATGAAACAAATGATGAGCTGTCTCAAATTGCCAGGGAAAGGGATATCTTGGCTCATGAGAATGACAATCTCCAAGAACAGTTTTCTAAAGCTAAACAAGAAAACCAGGTATACTTGTTCCTACAATCTTTTTCTCCAAGAAAAATAGGTATTTCTTCTGAGGCATAGCCCTCATTTCATTTTGTAGAAAAGCTCAGGCTTTGGAGCTAGCCATTTTTTACCTTTATTACACAGAATATGCCACATAATTTCTAAATGAAATTTTCAGACATATAGTATTAAATATCAGAGAAAAGAGGGAATGGGGGGTATAATAGATTTGCATTAAACCTTAGGATGTACTTCTTTAGTGAAGGATAAATATTTGAATAAACCAACAAATGAAGATAACCTTCCGAAATTTTTAAGAAAAGCGTAGATTTATTTGATGGACTGTTACTCCGTTTGAATATGAGTATACAGACCATGATACATTATTTGGTCCTCTTTAGCACTGTGATTCTTTTCAGGAAAATTTCTCTTTTAATTACTTCCTCTCTAAGCCAGTACAGTTCAGCTTTATCCAGAGCTCTCATTACCAATACCACTTTTAATTTTAACATTAAAAAATTCTACTTGGGGCTTCCCTGGTGGCGCAGTGGTTGAGAGCCCGCCTGCCGATGCAGGGCACGCGGGTTCGTGCCCCGGTCCGGGAAGATCCCACATGCCGCGGAGCGGCTGGGCCCGTGAGCCATAGGGGACACGGGTTCGTGCCCCGGTCCGGGAAGATCCCACATGCCGCGGAGCGGCTGGGCCCGTGAGCCATGGCCGCTGAGCCTGCGCGTCTGGAGCCAGTGCTCCGCAACGGGAGAGGCCACAACGGTGAGAGGCCCGCGTACCACAAAAAAAACCAAAAAGAAAAAAGGAAAAAAAAATTCTACGTGGAAACTTTCTTCCCCTTTTAAAATTTTTGGTCCAAATAGTTTCCCTTGCTTTGCTATCACTCTCAATGTGTTCAGTTTGCATCATAAAAGTCTGTATTTTTTTAACTGTTAAATATTTTAATTTACATAATCAGATATAAAGATGCAAAACTTGATTGATTATTAAAAAGTTGCCTGAGGTGTTAAATTACTTTGTTCAAAAATTAATGAATAATGGGATCCTGGAACAGCAAAAGGACATTATGTAAAAATGGAAGAAATCTGAATAAAATATGGACTTTAGTCAATAATGTATCAATATTGGTTCATGAATTGTGACAAATTTACCATACTAATATAAGATGTTAATAATAGAGGAAGCTAAGTGTAGGGTATATGGGCACTCTCTATACTATTTTAATAACTCTTCTATAAGTCTAAAACTATTTTAAAAGAAAGTTTATATTTTAGAAGTTAATAGCAATAAAAACAAGAGATGTGAATTTATAGGATCTACTTTGTGTGCTCTATTTATAGCTAAAGCAAATAGGCTAAAGGTAAATATAACTTATATTTATGAAAATTAGATTAAAAACTCTCATATTTACCACCCAGAGTTACCCACTGTTAATGTATTTTTAACTGATTTTCAATGTACTTAAAAATTTTTATACTATCTTTTACATGAACTTTTTAATGTAGCTGGGATAAAACCACATAGCACTTTATATCATGCTTTGTTCTACATGAGAAGACAATAGAGTGGAGTCTTTAAGACCCACATGAGTTCAAGTCCCCTGCCTGGCTGTGTGATACTATCATTTAACTTCTCTCAGTTTATCAACTGTAAAAATGGAGAGTAGATGAGAATATGCCTGGCAAGAATGTAGAGTGTCTCACATAATCACTAGGTAAATTTTTTTTTTTTTTTTTTTTTTTTTTTGCGGTCCGCGGCCCTCTCACTGTTGTGGCCTCTCCCGTTGCGGAGCACAGGCTCCGGACGCGCAGGCTCAGCGGCCATGGCTCACGGGCCCAGCTGCTCCGCGGCATGTGGGATCTTCCTGGACCGGGGCACGAACCCATGTCCCCTGCGTCGGCAGGCAGACTCCCAACCACTGCGCCACCAGGGAAGCCCGATAAATATTTTTTAACTGTTATTAGCATACTATAACATCATAGTTGTTTGTTACACCTTCACAAACATCTTTTATAATCAGAAGAAGAAAATTAGTATCATAACAATATACAAATGTTCAAGAATAGTTTTTTCCTTTGTTTGGGTCAGAGGGCCCAAGAGTAGAAGATGGATCCCTCTGTGGACTGCAGGTTGTTTAAAAACTCATATCATATTGCCAACAAACACATGAAAGGATGCTCAACATCACTAATCATTAGAGAAATGCAAATCAGAACTACAATGAGGTATCACCTCACACTGGTCGGAATGGCCATCATCAAAAAATCTACAAACAATAAATGCTGGAGAGTGTGGAGAAAAGGGAACCCTCTTGCACTGTTGGTGGGAATGCAAATTGATACAGCCACTATGGAGAACAGCATGGACATTCCTTAAAAAACTAAAAATAGAACTCCCATATGACCCAGCAATCCCACTACTGAGCATATACCCTGCAAAAAACATAATTCAAAAAGAGTCATGTAGCACAACGTTCACTGCAGCTCTATTTACAATAGCCAGGAGATGGAAGCAACCTAAGTGTCCATCGACAGATGAATGGATAAAGAAGATGTGGCACATATATACAATGGAATATTACTCAGCCATAAAAAGAAACAAAATTGAGTTATTTGTAGTGAGGTGGATGGACCTAGAGTCTGTCATACAGAATGAAGTAAGTCAGAGAAAAACAAATACCGTATGCTAACACATATATATGGAATCTAAAAAAAAATGGTTCTGATGAACCTAGGGGCAGGACAGGAATAAAGACGCAGACGTAGAGAGTGGACTTGAGGACACAGGGAGGGGGAAGGGTAAGCTGGGGCGAAGTGAGAGAGTGACATTGACATATATACACTACCAAATGTAAAATAGATAGCTAGTGGGAAGCAGCCGCATAGCACAGGGAGATTAGCTCGGTGCTTTGTGACCACCTAGAAGGGTGGGATAGGGAGGGTGGGAGGGAGACGCAAAAGGGAAGGGATATGGGGATATATGTATATGTATAGCTGACTCACTGTTATACAGCAGAAACTTAACACAACATTGTAAAGCAATTGTACTCCAATAAAGATGTTAAAAGAAAGAAAAAACCCATATCATAAAAGATTTGGAAAGCAGAAACCTTAAAAAAAATTTCTTCCTCAATACCACGATTTTAAACAAACTGAGTTGTTTTTAGTGTTTTATCCTGATGTTTTTCAAATATACATTAACATTTTTCTCTGTTATTAAAAATTATTCCAAACATTTCTCATGAATGCATAGTATTCTGTGTGGTTTTACCACTATGTAGATACTATTATTTACTGCATCATTCATCTAATGTGAATAAATATTGTCACATAGCAAATAATGCCTTAATAAACATTCTTTTTCGTTAAATTTTATAGATTTAGTTTCAGATTGAATCAAACGCTTATGAGGTTTCTTTTTTAAATTAAAAAACCTTCTAAGTGGACATGGGTATCGTGAATACCCAAGTATCCATCTCCCACCTTTAACAAAAAGTAACATATTTTTGTCTTTCTTGTTTTTATGAGCTTTTAAAAATGTCTCATGTCATCACCAGGTAGCAGATCACAGATTTGCTTTTCTCAAATGTACATTTACTCTAATAATACATGGAAACGCCCATTCCTTACCATATCTTTGATTACTAGTAAATTTTACCATTTTTCAAGTATTATCCACTTATGCTTCCTTTTTGTGAATTGTGTTTGGGTTCTTTGCCCATTTACTGTTTGGACTCTTGTGTTTTCTCACTGTCTTTATATGAGCTTTATATATTAGGTATATTAATTTTTATTTATCATATTTACTGTAAATATTTAAAAATTTATGGTAGTTTTGACATAGAGCAAGTTTTAATTTTTTGTAGTCAGATCTGTCTTTTTCTTATAGGCCCTGTCTAAAAAACTGAATGATACTCATAATGAGCTTAGTGACATTAAACAGAAGGTTCAAGACACTAATTTGGAGGTTAATAAACTGAAGAATATATTAAAGTCTGAAGTACGTATATATATATTTCCACCTTGGCTCGAGATACTTGAGTTTTCACTAAAGCTGTTGATTGATTGCACTCATAGGGACAGCTGAATCAAGTGCATTTCTTTAAGGCATAGCCTATTTTAATGTTGACAATTACGTGTTAACTATATATTTAGAATGTCACCAATGTCCAGAAGGGTAACTCAAGGATACACCCCTTTTATTTGCCACTTAGCCATTTTAGATAAGCAGAATCCTCCTAACTGGATGAAGAACAAGGGGCCAGAATCAAGTTGGGCTCACTTATATTTGGAAATGGTAGTTTACAGTTACAAACCTTTGACAAAAGAGGCTCCACCTGATTGTGTAGCAGATCAGAATTGATCTCTCTGTTGTGGAGCCACCTGTTTCCCAGGACCAGAGGGCAGATGGCTCTCTTCTCCATTTCTCTGTTAGTAACCAGTCGACTAGACACACGTCGACTGGTATGTCTGATATCAGATGATTCCTGATAAATTTGGGCATGTGTGACAACCCTGGAATAGACAGCTAGACCAAGGATGTTAGGTATGTCCATTTGATAAAGTATTATATAAAATAGTGTTGGATTGACTCCTGTAATAGGTGTGGTGTTACCTACTTACATAACAATCAAACCATTAATAGGAATTCCTCCCCCAAACAGGTTTCCTCATTGTATTTAACATATCATTTAATTTCAGCCCATAAACATATCTTGAGCATTTATTTATGGTATACATAAGACCATTCAGGACTTTGAGAGATGAGAGATTCTAAGGACTCCTGAATTGCAACCCTTGTTTTCAGGCAGTAAGGCAGTAGCCTCATGTTGCCAAAGCAGGTGATTTCCTACCCTTCTTGAGTTGAAGGTGCTAGCAATGTAATGTCGTAAATGGACAGAAGCTTTGGAGTCAGGTAGGTCTGACTCTTCCTCTCACTAATGCCGTGGACTTCTGTAGGCCACTCAATCTCCCTCAGTCTCAGTGTCCCGTCGGTAATTGGGAAGAACACCCAAGTGAGTAAGATACGCCTAGCACAGTGAGCCATCTAAGTATATTCTGGAATAGGGCAGAATATAAATAAAAGACTATCTGAACAACATTTAGCGTAGTAAACTTTCAGTCAACATTAGACACTTTTTCTCCCTAGCCTGTCGCATTACCTGAAATTCCACCATTAGTGATCAGGGCTTTTAGATTCTGGAATTGTATTTTCAGACATCACACATCAAACTCCTCTCAGCTTTTAGCATCCTCCTGTGAGTTCTTTTTTGAGACTCTGTTTCACAACATAGCTGGATGGATCCGGGCACCCCCCTGAGAGAAAGGATCACGGGTGCATTTTGGTAGGGAGGTCCATTAAGGATTGTCGAGTACTTTATTCATCACCCATCTATTCAGTGTGCAGTATGTTGGGTGCTGAGGTGACAGAGTTGAAAAACTGCGAGGAAAAAGAATGGCACCCCCGGCAGTGGGGACAACAAGTAGAGGGGGGAAAAGTAGGTCCTGTAGCTAGAGTGGAATGTGAAGGTGGGTGGTAATAAAGAGGTAAGAAGGATATGTCTGAACTGTATTTTTAGGAAGCTTTCATTACAACATACACAGAAGTTATTTGAAGAATTGCCTTTTAGAAAGATTGTTCAGGAAATGTTGGAAAAATAATAAATCAGAAGGGTAACAAAAGAGGGGCAAGAGCAGTTAGGAGAGGCTGTATCCATAATTCAGACAGTAAGTGCAAAGGATTCCAGCTGAGGCAGCGGCTTTGCCTTTGCCCTGGTGGAGGGGTGTAAAGAGCCCAGTGGTCAACCAGAGGGAACTGGTGGGGAAGCCCCAGAAAGAGGAAAAGAGATCTGCAAAGAGAGAACTGGAGAATACCAAAGATCAGTTGCACTTTCTTTACAATGTTGCCCATCTTGCACCCCACACTGCTCTGGCTGCTTTGGGCAGGTACAAAAAAGGGTAAACTGTGGTTGCCGGCTGCTGGGAGGGAGGGCACTAAGTGGTTAGAGGGCAGAGAGACGTTTTAATGCAGTCTTTTTCGCTGCTTAAACTTGGAACCATATATTACCTAGTCACAAAGCCAAATTTAATATAAAAATGATTTCTACCTTAGAAAACTGAATTCAGCATAAAAATGGTTCCTATCTTCGAGGAATCTGAGGGGTTACTGGGGAGATGGTACATCCACAGCTAACTACGTAAAGCTATAAGGCACTTTTAAGAGAATGACACACACAATAAGTGCTACAGAAAGTTAAAGAGGGTAAAAATGTGGGTAAAATTCAGTTTATGTATATTACATCATGTAACTCCCAAGTACATACTCTGTACACAACTGTTATTTTTAGTACAATAATAGAAAACATACATCAGATTCCTACCGGCACATTTGGAATATCTGAATCTTAAAAGCCAATACAGTAGTTTAGTATGTTAACTTGTTAATCAACAGACTTGGCAAAGATCCTTCATATTGGTCAAGGTACAACCAGACCACAAGGTGGCAATATTAACTGAATTTCAACCAGTCTCATGATTAATCATATTTATGAGAAAAATCTGATTTGAAATCTTTATACAGTGAGATGTTGTTTATTGTAATTTGCCTTATACAATTAGATGTTGCTTATTCCAGCGTTTCTGAACTGTTTATTAACAGGTAGGAGGCAAAGAGATCTAGTGCCTTTTTAATGAATTACCAAAATTATAAATGAACTTTTAGAATGAGTTGGCCAAACCGTACTACTAAAATAATATTTTTAAAAGTAGCTTCATAATTATTACTCAGTATAATATATTATTTGAGGAGCTGATTGTTTTCCTTTAGAAATGGGATCCTACTTTAGTCAGTCCATCATGATAGAACTTTATCATGATAGGTTCTAACAGTGGTTCTATATTGTATGCCCAGTATATACATGAATGTATATTTGTGAGTAGTGTTTATTGGCATAGGTTTCATATTTTACTTCTGAGCAACTTCAGGCAAGTTATTAGAACAGTGAGCAAAAGTGAATTATAGAACAGTCCATGATCAAGGAAATTAAGGCTGGGGTTATGAATGAAAGGCAGGAACCAGATAGGAAACATGCCAAACCAAGAGAATTTATCAGAAGCTGACAAGATATGCAAGCAGGCAGAAGCTCTATAGCCATAGTACAACCCAGAAGAGCAGTCAGGAACAAGGGAATTACACAGATACAAAAGGTCAGGTTAAGGCAGAAGCTTGGAAACCAGACCAGCAAGTAGTCAGTAAGCAGCTATATGGAGGCAATGAGGATTTTGTTTGAACAAAAGCAAATACAAGAACATATTCATTGAGGTCTTGAAGATAAGAGTGAAAACTTTACTAGATGAGTGAGTGTGACTCAGGAGCCAGGGCAGATCCTGCTTTCATTCCCTTCTGTTAATTACAGGATGACCGGTTTTCTAAACTGAGTAGAGATAGGAGTCCTTGAGATTGTGGTACAGTTGGTCATCGTGGCAAGTAAATTCCCAGTCACCTGGCAAACAATGTTTAATTTGCATCACATGTTTAACATTTTGCTCTCCTAAAGTAATACCTAAGATTTGCTTTTTAGGAATCTGAGAACCGGCAAATGATGGACCAACTCCGAAAAGCCAGTGAAGATGCTGAAAACTGGGAAAATAAGTCCCGTCAAGCAGAGGCAGATAACAGTACCCTCAAATTAGAACTTATCGCTGCTGAGGCAGAGGGTAACAGATTAAAAGAAAAAGCAGATGCCCTCAACAGAGAGGTGGAGCAGGTAAGTTTGGTAAAATATGCTTGTAGTACATCCTGTATCATATTTAAAAGAGTTTTGTTTGGCTTTCCGTAAATTAAGTGTATAAACAAACACTTAAGTTATTTAAATATACTGTGAATTGTAGTCTGTTAACTGTTCTCCGCTCTGGTTCTCTAATCTCTTACCTACTCTACAACTAGAATAATCTTTAGCATTTTTAAAAATTAGAAACTATTTCAAGCATACAAAAACAGTGCCCTCCCCAAAAGTAATATAAAAGACCCACATATGCCCATCTCCAAAGTTGAAGGATGCTAACATTTTGCCATATTTATAAAGAATATATTTATTATTTAAATAAAGTCTGTCTTTATTAAAAAACCAAAACATTGCAGATACAACTCCTCATCCTTTCTTCCCCTCCCTCCCTAATGGTTGGTATGTAGAACTTTCATGTCAGTTGTATAACTTTGTCATATGTTCGTACTTTTTCTACATATCTGTCACCCACAAATGATGTATAATGTTTTGTGTGCTTCAAGTTTTTTTAAGTGATAACATACTGTAGGTATCTATTTGCAATTTGCCTTTTTTGCTCAATATTATAATTGTGAAATGTATCTATTTTAATACATATGGTGTACATCTAAACAGTTGCTTCTATGGTCATTGAATAAAATATTTTATTTTTAAAATTCATTCCCATACTAAAGGACATTTAACTGTCTTCACTTTTTCTATAATAAAATGCTGCAACAAACAGCATTTGGTAAAAGTTACTGAGGTAAATAGGCCTTTACTGTGAAGCTTTGTGTTTATCTGTCTATGAGTTAGGCTATGATTACTGTTTACTGTAGCTGTGCATGTCAGAGAGGCTAGAATTCCTTCTGGTGTCCTTCTTTGTCTCCTCTATTGTCTTTGGGTTCACTTAAGAGACTCCTTAAATAGAGTCTGAACCTTGTAGTTCTTTCAACTATGACCTCCTATTATTATACAGGAGCCCTGTTGACGTGGTAGTGAAGTGTAGGTGGAGGAGACGTGTTCTATTATCCTACGATTAGGTCTTAGTCTTTTAGTGGGCATGTGCCCCTGGGATGTGACCTTCACAAGTGTTTCTCAGTTTTTGTCTCCCTTAGATGAGGTAGAAAGGCTTGAGAGACTCTGCGTTAGGTACTACCATCCCTCCACATTGGTTAGGCTCTGGTACAACCATGTTGGTTATGCTGTCACAAAATCATCTCCTTTGAGGGCAGACCTTTGTCAAGAAGGACAGAATTCTGTGGCATTATTCAAAATGGTTACTTTTCCCCTCACCCTGCTAGAAGCATGAGGGGATTTTTATCGGACATTAATCCTGAAAACCCAGTGGGCTCCAGGAGGTAAAACTAATAAAAATGTGGGGTTCTCCTCAGGCTGGGAGCCCAGGAGGATGTATCTCTCAGGCTAGTTCATGCTCAGTCTCTAGCAGGTGGTCAATTACCCTTTAAGCGTTGCTACCGGTTGCTAGCTCCAACGGCAGTTTCTCCTCCTGGTAAGCTGCAATTCTCTGTTTGGGTGCAGTGATTCATTTTATGTCTTCAATTCTCTGATAGATCAAAGAGGAGTTGTTTATTGTCATATTTTCTGCTTTTTTCGTATTGTGAGCATGGGAGTGATGATCTCTAAGCTGTTTACATGTTGGAACAGAAACTGGAAGGCTGCTTGTTTACGTGATTAGAGACTGGCTGGATTATTTAGTGAAATCTCTTTCTCCCCTTTCCCCTTGAAGTGTGAAGCCTCTGATGTTTCTCCTCAGAGGTGCAGCCTTGAATGCGTCCACAGTTACCCTGCAATGACAGTGGTTTTGGCAGGGCCTTTTTTGACTCTCTTCCTTTACTACCCTCAGCTGTTAAGCCCAACTAATTTCTAGCTATTTGCTTTATTGTTTTCAACAGTGCCCTCAAGCACAAATTGCTTCATAGACTGATTCAATTAACTTTGGGTTGTTTTACAGGGATAGCTTTTGAGGTCAATGTTTGAGTTTTTTCTGAACCCGAGAACATTCTTCTTAGCAGTCTCTTCCCCTAATTTTCGCTGGTAAACTAGCTGACCTATGGTGGAGCTTGTATCTCTTAAGAGTTTACCATTCTTTTTAAAATCTTTTCAACGTAGCCTCGAAGTGCTTTCGCTGTACCTTCCATCGTTCTTGAGAGTGCCTTAAACTTGAATTTTCCTATAGTCAGCTGTAAATGAAGTAAAGTTCCTTTGGAAGAATTTAGGAGCTTCCTGCTTTAAGGCCTCTCTCTCTCCCTGGGCAAAATCTCTGAGCCCTGGCTCTGAAGCTGGTATGGGGACAGTGGTGCAGTTCTCTTTGAGTGACGTGCCCACTTTAGGATCTGGGCACTTGGAGGGGATGGTGGGTATATGGCTGTAGCCTCTGGCCTTCTCAGCATGCCTCTCCAGGTATGGAACCTCTTCCTTATGAATAACCTGTGTCAAGGAGAATCAGAGCCACAGTGTTCTCAGTATGCCACAAACAAGATAGAACCTCCATCCCATGTGGAGAGGCTGGTCAGAAGAAGGGAGCCCCCATCTCCCAGACATTGTTGCCAGAAACTTGGCCTCTGAAATAAGTAGCTTTTGGAGTGGCATGAGAAATGCTGATAGCCTGCCTCTCCTGGGAATACACTATAGTTCTTGACTGAGTACTGAGGGGAGAGGGAGCATTGTTTTTCGATGCACCCACATGGATTGGAATTTCCATCGTGCTGAGCTGGGTGTGGGGAGAGAGGGTCATACTTCAGATGCCACGGACTTTTCCTGTTCCCTCCCAGTTTTAGTTGGTTTTCTTAAAAGTGTTTCTTCATTTACTGTATGTTCTTAAGACCATTTCCAGAGACTATTTAAAGACCATTTAAGGTTGCTTTTTTATAGTTTTCGCTACTTTCACTGGTTCTATGGAGCTGCTCACATTGCCGTGCCAGAAATGGAACCTTATTCTACACAGTTGATATGTTTTCATTTTATTTTATGTCAAAATAATTTTCTGATTATCCTTATATTATTTTGCGGTATTGTTTAATTTTCAGTATTTGGAGATTTAAAAAAATACCTTTCTAGTTATTGATTTTTCAGTCTTTTACATTTATTGAGACTGTATGGCTAGCATATGGTCGTCTTTCTGGGTTTTCCATGTACACTTGAAAATAACGTGTATTATTTTGTTGTTGGGTAAAATGTTCTATAAATGTCTATTGGGTCAAGTTCATCAATAGTGTTTTTTAATTCCTATCATTACTGAGTTTCTGTTTACTTGTTCTGCCAATTATTGAGAGAAGAGTGTTGAAATCTCCAAACATATTTGTGTATTTTTTCTTTCAGTTCTGTCATGTTTACTTTACTTCATGTTTTTGAATCTGTGTTACATTGCTTCTTAATGAATTCATCTCTTTATCCATTGTAATGCTTCTCATTCTGTAGTATACTTTGTAAGGTATTAATATAGCCACTTCAGACTTCTTTTAATTATTGTTTGTATGGTATATCTTTTTCCATGCTTTTGTTTTTAATCTGTCTATGTCTTTATGTTTAAAATAGTATTCCTTTAGACAGCATATGGTTGGATCTTGCTTTTTTACCCTGTCTTACATCTGTCTTCTAGTTGTCTTTGGACCATTTATATTTAATGGAATTATTAATATAGTTGTGTGTAAATCTACCATGTTATTGTTTTCTATTTGTCCCATTTATTTATTTTGTTTCCTCTTCACTCTTTTTCTGCCTTCTTTTGAGTATTTTTTTAAATATTCCATTCGATCTCTATTATGGCCTTATGAGCGGTACATCATTATTTTTTTCTGCTGATTATTCTGGAGTATAGACCATGTATCTTTTAATTGTCACAGTCTACCTTCAAATAATAGATTACTTCTTAGTACCCCTTTACTTCCCCCTCCCATTCTTTATCCTACTGTTCCTCCATTTTTCTTCTACATATATTGTAAACCCCATAGTACATTATTATTTTAACTTTAAATAGTTATCTTTAAAGAAATTAAAATATGAAAGACTTTTTTATTCACCCACATATTTACTATTTCTCATGCTCTTCATTCCTTTGGGGAGATCCAAGTTTTCATCTACTATAATTTTCTTTTTGCTAGAAGAAGTTCCTTTAAACATTTCTTCTAAATAAAGTAACAAATAGAAAAAAATTTAACAAAAAAGTAAGTAAATTAAAATAAAGTAAGAGCTAAGTTCTTTTCAAATGAGGGGGGGAAAAAACGTTTCTTGTAGTACGTTGGCATTGAATTCTCTCAGGTATTGTTTGTTTTAAAAAGTATTTATTTCACCCTCATTTCTGAAGAACCTCCTTTTTTTACATGTCTTTTATGTGTTTATTTTCTTTACACACTTCCTACCCCACTGCTGATTGGTTTGGAAGTTATATGTTCTCAGTCTCTTCTTTTAGTAGTTAAAATTGTAATATGCATACTTAACAAAGTCTGTTGTTAGTATCTCCAACCTTCCTCCTAAACAATAATATATGGTCCTGAGAAAACTTGAATACTGAGCATAAAACTACTGCTTACTAGATCTTGTGCCCTCTCTCTTATTTTCTCTTTCACACACACACACCAATCTTTTATGATACTGTTATGGACTATTTTAGTTCCACCTTGTTTTTATATTCTTAAAAATAAATCATTACTATTGTTCTTATTCTTTGTCAATCCTTATTTGTATCTACCCATATGTTTACAGAATTCTTCATTCATCGTTGCTTCTTTTTTTTGTCATGAATATATTAAAAATCATCTGCTTTAATCACTGTAAATAACTCTTGCTCAAAGAACCTTATAAATAATTGGTATGCTTGTTTCAATATCAGTGTTGTTTGTTTTTGTCATTGTTATATGACAATATTGCTATCCTTGATCCTAAAACCTTGTGATCAAATCCAGGAGGCTTGACTTTAGGTGATATTAAGGGCAATAGTGATCAGGGCCAAGAATTTGGTATAAAACATGCTCAACCCAATTCTAAAAATCCAGTTCTCTGCAGAACTTTGGTAAAATATACTTAGCAGAATATATGTTACTGAAATTTGGGATTTCCTAAGGATACATTTTTCACTTTTTCTAAAAGGAAAACATTTTTGAAGACATTTAATATGTGTTCACATGTCTGAGTAAATTCATTTATATATTAAAACTTGTTCAAGTGTAAGGAAAAGAGATCTACTCCAGCTAGTTCAAGAAAACAGGAGTTATTGTAAAAACACAAGTGGAACATGTGGGAGAAAGGATTTCATGGGAGCTCTTAAGTCCTAAATCTGCCAGGAATGGAGACTAGAGGATCGTTTTGTGATAGAGAGTAGCTCTCAAGACCTCCACAACCCAGCCAGAAAACGTTCATCATTCCTGTTGTGCTTCACTATGAATTTCAGGGAGGTGCATCTGCTTCTACAAAAGGACTCTGAGTTATCATAGGCATGGAACAAACATTATGTTAAAGTTTAGAATTGGGTATGGCAGGGTAAAGTCAGACTCCAAAATTGGGTGAAGCCAGACCAAAGTTTTCAGTTTCTTACAGAAGACATTTTTTTTTTTCTCTATCCAGAGACTAGGTCAAGATAAACTTTTGGTTGTCTCTCTGTGAGGTTGAGTGGATTTTTTTTTTCCTGGAGCCTCCTCTCAAGGATCCCGGATTATGTGGAGATCTCAATTCCAACTCTCCATTAGTCCTAAATTCTTGTCTCGTAGTCTTACTTGAGTGTGTTAAGCCATTCGTCATTACTGGGTCTTCCAACCCCCAACTCTTAGCTTCAGACCTGCTCATTTGCTCCTTGCTCTGGTTTTGTTTTCTCTGTTTTTGGCATGTGAGAATTTCTCTTTCTTACCTGCAAGTTCAACTATGAACTGCAAAAATAATTTTTTCTTCTATTTAATCCAGATTTTCCTCTTAGCTTAATCAGCTATTTTACTAGAACCTGAAACGTCCAAAGCATTCTTCTCAAAACACAAAACCGATCACATAACCTACTCTGTAAGATCTGTCAATTGTAATAAAGACCTAAATTTTACATGGCTTACTAGGCTCTATTTTGTAAATTATACACCTTTTCAACTGCACCTCCTATCACTCTTCCCTGTAGTCTCTGAGCTCTAGCCATACTAGCCTTCTCTCTGCTCTTGCTTTGCACTTAGCATCCTCTGATTTGAAAAGCCACCCTCCCCCAACACACTGTATATCTACTCACTCTTCAGATCTCAGTTCAAGTGTCATTTACTTAGAGAAGACTTTGCTGATTTCCCCTATCCCATCAGTCTAGGTCACTTTCCTGTGTTCTACACTTTTTTCTCTAGAAATATTTGCTTAATATATATTTACATATTCATGTGTATGATTATTTTATTAATGCATGATTCCCCCATTGTCTGGAAACTTCATGAGAGCAGAGACCATTTTGCTTATCATTGGATATGCATCAAGGCACATTGACTGGAACATAGAATATACTCAATAAGTATGGAATGGATGGGCGGGTGGGTGGATAGATGGATAGAAGGTTGTTTGAAGAATGAGTGACAAATTGAGTGAGTGAGGAAGGAAGGGAGGCAGAAAGGTAAGAGTCAATTGTGGCCAAATAACTTATTCCAGGAGCAATTTTTTGTGCATTGTACTTGTAAAAACGCTTGTAAAAGCAGAAGCATTTCTTTATTTGTCTCTCAGTTCTGTTAGTCTCACATAATAGCAAATACTCTGTAGGTGGCAGTGCACTAACATAAGACATTTTTCTGAAAAAAAAGGGTGTGTGTGTGGAATTATCTTGAACATTTGAAAACATTTATATAACTTGACTCTCATATTACAGTTTTAAAGACATGCTCTTATTTTCCATAATGTGGACGTGTTCTTGATTTATACTTGTCTGGAGTCTTTTTCCCTCACAGGTATTAGTAAGTGCTAGAGAGTTATCAGCTCTCATTTTATGATATTATGATCCATATCAGCATGCCATTCAAGAATTAGAAAATGGGTATTGTGAATGAAACAGTAGATAATGTTTTGTCTTTAACAATAATAATATTTATACCGTAGAATAATTGGAGCTATGGCAAATATAGACAGAACTACAGGCCAAACGTGTATATCTCAACTAACTTTGGGGATGAGACTTTTAAATTGTTTTCTAAATACATTAAAAAGAATGACCAGGGACATCTCTGGTGGCATAGTGGTTAAGAATCTGCCTGCCAGTACAGGGGACACGGGTTCAATCCCTGGTCCTGGAAGATCCCACATGCCGCGGAGCAACTAAGCCCGTGAGCCACAACTACTGAGCTGGTGTGCTGCAACTACTGAAGCCCGTGTGCCTAAAGCCCATGCTCCGCAACAAGAGAAGCCACTGCAGTGGGAAGCCCGCGCACTGCAATGAAGAGTAGCCCCCTCTCGCCGCAACTAGAGAAAGCCCGTGTGCAGCAGCGAAGAACCCAACGCAGCCAAAAATAAATAAATAAATAAATTTACTTTAAAAAAAAAAAAAAGAACGACCAGTTGACCACTTTACTCCTGGATTTTATATATAGAAATTTGAAGCCCAAATTTCTCTTTCCCAGAATGTTTTGTGCATACTATTGCCACCTATATCATCTAAAGTTCCTTATAATCTAAAAGTACTATCATTAAAATATTTGCCCCACTTTGTTTTCCATGCTGTAGGTTTTTTTCAAGTTAAAAAAATACATATATATAATAATTTTGTCCTTGCAGCACTTAAATGCAGAACGGTCTTACAAGTCCCAGATTGCTACTTTACATAAGTCTGTTGTAAAGATGGAAGAGGAGCTTCAGAAGGTTCAGTTTGAAAAAGTGTCTGCCCTTGCAGACTTGTCTTCCACAAGGGAACTTTGCATTAAACTTGACTCAAGCAAAGAACTTCTTAATCGACAGCTGGTTGCTAAAGATCAAGAAATAGAAATGGTATGTATTATGTTTTTAAATGGTTCTTTTAATATTACTATAAAATTACCACCATTTTCAAAAAATGAACTATTTTTTAATAAAATATTACATCAAGCCATGCCTTTCAACTTTAGATTTTATTTTTAAAGTCCAAGAAATTAATTTATGCTGTGTTCCAAACAACTCAAGACCATAACAGAAGCTCTTCCTTTGAGTGTGTAACTTGCATTTACTTTTAGCCAAAAGACGTATAAAACACATTGACATATCAATCAGCAAAGAACCATGAGGCTGAGGTTTATCTAGCAAAATAATAACTTTAATGATATCCTTTTAAGCAAAATTTACTATTTGGCTGAGTTCTTTTAAACTGTAATTCACTTGACTGTGTCTACCATGTGCCTGGCATTGTGCTTGCCACTGTGAATATAATGTTCAAAAGATACAGTCCCCTGCCCTCAAGGGCCTCCTGGTATTGACATACAAATTATTTGGGGTGAATATTTTACTAGTAAGGAATACTCAAGTTTTCAGAGAGGGAATTCCTTTTTGGCCTGTGGGTGTCAGAGAGGAGTTCACAAGGGCAAACTACTGAACTCAGAAGTGATGAGACATCCCATTCAGAGGGAACAACCACTTAGGCAATGGTCTGAAGTTATAAGTAAATTCTTGAGTGAGTAGTAAGTCATTTGCAATGGCCAGGTGGCTGAGCTGCATCTGGAAAAATAGATGGAGCCTGAATCCTGAAGGGATATGTATTCAAGTTGCATAGTATAATTGAAATATCAACACATTTTGGTTATATGTTGATAGACATACACAAATACACCATAACCAAAAGGATTAGTAATCTTTAAGCTTTAAAATTATTACCCTTAGCAGAACTAAATATAAAATTGATAATGATTTATATTTATTTTTTAATCTTTTAAGGATGTTTACTACAGGTTTTGTTGCTTACTTACTAGTCTTTAAATATTTTTTCTCTTATTGTGTTAAAATACATATAACTTTTACCATCTTAACCATTTTAAAGTTCAGTGGTTTTCACATTGTTTTGCAGCCATCACCACCGTCCATGACCATAACTCCTTTCATCTTATAAATCTGAAACTCTATACCTATTAAACAAGAACTCCCCATTCTCTCCTCCCTGCAGCCCCTGGCAACCACCATTATATTTTCTGTCTTGATGATTTTGACTACTCTAAGTACCTCACATAAGTGGAATCATACGTATTTGTCTTTGGGAGGCTGACTTATTTCACTTAGCATAATGTCCTTAAGGTTCATCTATGTTGTAGCATATTGCAGAATTTCTTTCCTTTTTTTTAAATAGATCTTTATTGCAGTATAATTGCTTCACAATACTATGTAATTTTCTGTTGCACAGCAAAGCGAATCAGCCATATGCATACACATGTCCCCATATACCCTCCCTCTTGAGCCTCCTTCCCATCCTCCCTATCCCAAACCTCTAGGTCATCATAAATCACCGAGCCAATCTCCCTGTGCTATGCTGCTGCTTCCCACCAGCCAACTATTGTACATTCAGTAGTGTATATATGTCGATGCTACTCTCACTTTGCCCCAGCTTTGCCCTCCCACCCCATGTCCTCAAGTCCATTCTCTATGTCTGCCCCTTTTTTCCTTCTCTGCAACTAGGTTCATCAGTACCATTTTATTTTATTTTTTTAGATTCCATATATATGCGTTAGCGTATGGTATTTGTTTTTCTCTTTGTGACTTACTTCACTCTGTATGACAGACTCTAGGTCCATCCACCTCACTACAAATAACTCATTTTCATTTCTTTTTATGGCTGAGTAATATTCCATTGTATTTATGTATCACATCGTCTTTATCCATTCATCTGTTGATGGACCCTTAGGCTGGTTCCATGTCCTGGCTATTGTAAATAGAGCTGCAGTGAACATTGTGGTACATGACTTTTTCTGAATTCTGGTTTTCTCAGGGTATATGCCCAGTAGTGGGATTGCTGGGTCATATGGTAGTTCTACTTTTAGTTTTTTAAGGAACCTCCATATTGTTCTCCATAGTGGTTGTATCAGTTTACATTCCCACCAACAGTGCAGGAGGGTTCCCTTTTCACCACACCCTTTCCGGCATTTATTGTTTCTAGATTTCTTGATAATGGCCATTCTGACCCGTGTGAGGAGATACCTCATAGTGGTTTTGATTTTCATTTCTCTAATAATTAGTGATGTTGAGCATCTTTTCATGTGCCTCTTGGCCATCTGTATGTTTTCCTTGGTGAAATGTCTATTTAGGTGTTCTGCCCATTTTTTAACTGGGTTGTTTGTTTTTTTGATATTGAGCTGCATGAGCTATTTGTATATTTTGGAGATGAATCCTTTGTCTGTTGTTTCATTTGCAAATATTTTCTCCCATTCTGAGGGTTGTCTTTTTGTCTTGTTTATGGTTTCCTTTGCTGTGCAAAAACTTTTAAGTTTCATTAGGTCGCTTTTGTTTATTTTTGTTTTTATTTCTGTTACTCTAGGAGGTGGGGTAAAAAAGATCTTGCTGTGGTTTATGTCAAAGAGTGTTTTTCCTATGTTTTCCTCTAAGAGTTTTATAGTGTCTGGTCTTACATTTAGGTCTTTAATCCATTTGGAGTTTATTTTTGTGTATGGTGTTAGGGAGTGTTCTAATTTCATCCTTTTACATGTAGCTGTCCAGTTTTCCCAGCACCACTTATTGAAGAGGCTGTCTTTTCTCCATTGTATGTTCTTGCCTCCTTTGTCATAAATTAGGTGACCATATGTGTGTGGGTTTATCTCTGGGCATTCTATCCTGTACCATTGATCTATATTTCTGTTTTTGTGCCAGTACCATAGTGTCTTGATTACTGTAGCTTTGTGGTATAGTTTGAAGTTGGGGAGCCTGATTCCTCCAGCTCCATTTTTCTTTCTCAGGATTGCTTTGGCTATTCAGGGTCTTTTGTGTTTCCATATGAATTGTAAAATTTTTTGTTCTAATTCTGTGAAGAATGCCATTGGTAGTTTGATAGGGATTGCACTGAATCTGTAGATTGCTTTGGGTAGTATAGTCATTTTCACAGTATTGATTCTTCCAATCCAAGAACATGGTATATTTCTCCATCTGTTTATGTTATCTTTGATTTCTTTCATTGGTGTTTTACAGCTTTCTGAGTACAAGTCTTTCGCCTCCTTAGGGAGGTTTATTCCTAGGTATTTTATTCTTTTTGTTGCAGTGGTAAATGGGAGTGTTTCCTTAATTTCTCTTTCTGATTTTTCGTTGTTGGTGTATAGGAATGCCAGAGATTTCTGTGCATTAATTTTGTATCCTGCAACCTTACCAAATACATTGATTACTTCTAGTAGTTTTCTGATGGCATCTCTAGGATTTTCTATGTTTAGTATCATATCATCAGCAAACAGTGACAGTTTTACTTCTTTTTCCAATTTGTATTCCTTTTATTTCTTTTTCTTCTCTGATTGCTGTAGCTAGGACTTCCAAAACTATGTTGAATAAGAGTAGTGAGAGTGGGCAACATTGTCTTGTTCCTGATCTTAGTGGAAATGCTTTCAGTTTTTCACCATTGAGTATGATGCTTGCTGTGCATTTGTCACATATGGCCTTTATTATGTTGAGGTAGGTTCCCTCTATGCCCATTTTCTGGAGAGTTTTTATCATAAATGGGTGTTGAATTCTGTCAAAAGCTTTTTCTGCATCTATTGAGATGATCATATGGTTTTATTCCTTAATTTGTTATTGTGGTATATCACATTGATTGATTTGAGTATACTGAAGAATCCTTGCATCCCTGGGATAAATCCCACTTGATCTTGGTATATGATCCTTTTAATGTGCTGTTGGATTCTGTTTGCTAGTATTTTGTTCAAGATTTTTGCATCTATGTTCATCAGTGATATTGGTCTATAACTTTCTTTTTTTGTGATATCTTTTTCTGGTTTTGGTATCAGGGTGATGGTGGCTTCATAGAATGAATTTGGGAGTGTTTCTCCCTCTGCAATTTTTTGGAAGAGTTTGAGAAGGATGGGTGTTAGCTCTTCTCTAAATGTTTGATAGAATTCGCCTGTGAAGCCCCCTGGTCCTGAACTTTTGTTTGTTGGAAGATTTTTAATTACGGTTTCAATTTCATTACTTGTGATAGGTCTGTTTTTGTTTTCTAATTCTTACTGGTTCAGTCTTGGAAAATTGTACCTTTCCAAGAATTTGTCCATTTCTTCATGGTTGTCCATTTTATTGGCATATAGTTGTTTGTAATAGTCTTTTATAATCCTTTGTACTTCTGCAGTGTCAGTTGTGATTTCTCCTCTTTCATTTCTAACTTTATCTGTTTGTGTCCTCACCCTTTTTTTCTTGATGAGTCTGGCTAAGGGTTTATCAATTTTGTTTTTCTTCTCAAAGAACCAACTTTTAGTTTTATTGATCTTTGCTATTGTTTTCTTTGTTTCTATTTCATTTATTTCTGCTCTGATCTTTATGATTTCTTTCCTGCCACTGACTTTGGGTTTTCTTTGTTTTTTTTCTCTAGTTGTTTCAAGTGTAGGGTTAGATTGTTTATTTGAGATTTTTCTTGTTTCTTGAGGTGAGATTGAATTGCTATAAACTTCCCTTTTAGAATTGCTTTTGCTGCATCCCATAGGTTTTGGGTCATCATGTTTTCATTGTCATTTGTTTCTAGGTATTTTTTTATTTCTTCTTCGATTTCTTCAGTGATCTCTTGGTTATTTAGTAGCGCACTGTTTAGCCTCATGTATTTGTGGTTTTTTTACACATTTTTTCCTGTAATTGATTTCCAGTCTCATAGCATTGTGGTCAGAAAGAGATGCTTGATACAATTTCAATTTTCTTTAATTTTCTGAGGCTTAATTTGTGACCCAAGATGTGATCTATCCTGGAGAATGTTCCATGTGTGCTTGAGAAGAAAGTGTATTCTGCCACTTTTGGGTGGAATGTTCTATAAATATCAGTGAGATCTATCTGGGCTATTGTGTTAAAACTTGTGT